GTTAATTTTTATTAGACGAGTGGGACCCAATAACGGTCATATTTTCAATTTTAATTGGCTTTTAATCCCTCCCGAATAGGGCCATAATATAGAAAACTTTAAATTATTTCTGAATTTACAATTATGACAGATTGCAAAGCTATAATAAAATTTATTAAATAGAAAAATTTTGATAAAATATGACATAAAAGATGGTTAAAATTATATGAGATATTAAACAGTTTTAAAATTAATATAGAACACATAGACGGGAAAAAAATATTTTGGCTAATAATTTAAATAGACAAGTTTTTAATTTTCTAACCCATTATTTTTATGGTGCAGATGGATCGAAGAATGATTGACTTTAAAAATGTCACTCTAAGAGTGGCCCCCACAAGGATCTAATCTTCGATTCAGAAGAAATAATTTAGAAAGATTACTAGAAAGACAGTGTTGTCTCTAGATAATCTCCGGATAGCACGTGATTCTAAATAAAAATTAGACAGCATTAATGCTTTAACTAATCATTTTAGGCAGATTTACAATCAAGTAGAAACCAGAAATTTTAGTTTCTTTACAATAATTAAAGATAGAAAATCCGGTATATATAATTATTGGCCAAATGTATTGCAACAAGAAGAAAGATTTACATATTCATTTTTCAAAAGATTTTATACATTAGAAGAAGAATTAAATTTCCGTAGAGAAATGAAATGATTTAACTTTTATATATCTGAAAGGATTAGACAGACTATGCAACCTATTACTTCTCAAGCATTATCTTCATCTTCAATACAACTTTGTAATAGTTGTGAAACTATGACCAAAGTTGTTAGAAATTTAAATCTTAAAAAGTAGCCATTAGAAGAAATATTACAAATCCTTGAAGACGAAATCTCTTCATCTCGATAGACTATTAGTAAATATCAACATGAGATTCTCCAGTTACATGATAGTTTAAAAAGATTAAGTTCTAAAGATGTTATTGAAAGACCTATCTCTAAAGATATTGCATCTACAAATAGAAATTATTATGATAAAATAGAAAGACTTATTAAATTAACAGACTCTACAGCTGCAGGGCTTGAAAGGACTTTATATGAATTAGAATAGAAAATTGGCAATTGTGCCAGCATTGATTGAAGTGCTATAAAGGAGTCAATAGTACAAGAAATTATCGATTTCTCTCAAATTCTAAGCTATTATCACAACGAAAAAATTCAAAGACATCCTTGTAAATTCAATCCTTGTAGATTCAAAGACTTTAGAAATAAAAGTAAGTCTTTTTCATACTTTTTCTTGTCTATAATTTCTGTTTACTTTATTTATTTTCCGGGTAAGGCCTAAAAGAGAAAACACCAAGTAAACAATCAATTTATTCAAAAAACTATATTTTATTTTCATATATAATTCTAACGCTATTAGCATCTTTATTCTGGATTTCATGACCAAAAAGATAAAATAATCCTCTGAGTTAAATCGACTATTTTACTTATTAAGTGGGTTTGATCAAGCCTTTTAAACTTGATGAAAATTCTTTTTGGTTACAATCTTAAACCTTTTTAGAAGGTCAAGAAAAAAGCTAAGAGATAGTTAAAAAAAAAAAGTATTTGAACGGTGAAGTACTCTATGGCCATTACAACCATATTGTTTTTAATTTCATATATTTTATGCAATTAGACTATTATACTTTACCTAGGGCCCGTTCGGTAGGGATTAAAATCAGATTAAAATTGAAAAAATAGCCGTTATTGTTGACTTTTATTGGACGAGTGGGACCCAATTACGATCATATTTCAATTTTAATTGGATTTTAATTCTTACCGAACGGGGCTTTATTGTTCTTTAGAAAGTTTTAAAGAATCTATTAATATCAATCGAGCAAATCGAGAAATCAATAGATTGGTTATTATAAAAAGCCATATATTATCCGCACTAGATAGAAATAGAGGTGGGTTTTTATTATTTTCTCTTATATTTTTTATGGCTTTTTGTATTTTCTTACAATTTTTAGAATCTTTTATCAAAAAACTCCGACATTGAGAGATAAAAAGCTCAGCGATTTGCTTCTTGATCTGTAAGGAGGAGTCACCTCTATTTTTATCTAGTGCGGATAATATGTGGCTTTCTATAATATAGGAAATTAAAAACAATGTGTTTGTAATGATCTTAGAGTACTTTTTTAAAAAATATATATTTTTTAACTTTCTCTCAACTTTTTTCTTGATCTTCTAAAAATGCTTAAAACTGTAACCAAAAACGATTTTCATCATAGTTAAAAGGCTTGATCAAACTCACTTAATAAGTAAAATAGCTGACTTAACTCAGAGGATTACATTATATTTTTGGCCATGGAATCAAGAATAAAGAGGCTAAGAGCGTTAGGATTATATATGAAAATAAAATATAAATTTTTGAGTAAATTGATTGTTTACTTGGTGTTTCCTCTTTTAGTTCTTGCCCGAAAAATAAATAAAGTAAACAAATGTAAATAGTGGCTTCTTTTTTATTTGATACACCACATTTTAATTGTAGTTGAATTCATCAATCTTTGCTCGTTGTAACTGTTGACCCCAAAAAATGAACTCAACAGATACCGTGTCCACCCTTGCCAGGCCAAGCAATGATCCGGCGCGTTTCTACTGCTCCGGAATAGGAGTGATAGTACGGTTGGATGGAACGCGGGAGGTGCTTTCCAACAAGAGGCACAACTGTTCGAGCTCCGGTGGTTTTTATTTAAACGGCCATTGCGCTATCAACAAGAGCTCGATCGATTTTCCTAAAATGAATATCTGTTTTGTAATGGAATATGTGGACTGATAGATAAAAGAGAATATCTTGTAATGTTGCAAGGGACACAACTGTTCAAGCTCCGGTGGTTTTATGTAAACGGCCCTTGTGCTATCAACAAGAGTTCGATCGATTCCCCTAAAATGAATATCTGTTTTGTAATGGAATATGTGAAAGAATAGATAAAAGAGAATATATTGTAATGTGTTATGATCTCGATGAATGGTGTATTCCACAAGAGAAAGCAAAGCCTAGTGTATTCCTCCGTTTTTTTTCCTCTCTATACAAAGATAGACAATTTATATTATTCTAGCCGATGTGGTGACCGTCAGATCAAATCTACGTGGCGACATCCCCTAGACTGAAGCCTTACATCACTGAAGATCCGTCGTTCTACTCTGTAGACTGATTCCCTGACACACGCTAACGCTGCAGGCACTTTATGGCAGATGTCACATCAATCAGTTCTGAGAGATCTCGAATCTGTTATGAGGAAACGTCTGCGCTAAGCATTAGCACTTCGGACCCAAGGAGCCTCTACTTTCACATGAAGGAGTTTCGGACTCGAGGAGCCTCTGCTTTCACATGAAGGAGCTTCGGACTCGAGGAGCCTCTGCTTTCACATGAAGGAATTTCAGACTCAAGGAGCCTCAGCTTTCACATGAAGGAGTTTCGGACTCAAGGAGTCTCTGCACGTTGACCTTACCTGTGTTGACTCAACCTCCCCCCCCCCCCCCCCCCNTCCCTTGTCTGACTTTTCTAATGAATACGTGGCTGCCTACGTGGTATGCTGACTTGGAGTCGTTAATCCTAGGGGGTAACAGTGGTCCCCCAAGTCTATGCATTGTTATTTATGTAATGCATGGACTTTCATGTTTTTCAGCAAGGGAGTTGTAAATTTTCTTTGGCATTCCTATCAGCATTTTCCGAGGTGGATTGTCGAGGGCAGAGGTATCAGTCCTTTTTGGGATGCTTAGAATAGGTAACGTATGCTGAGGTTCGTAGGTTCAATTCCGAAGTTGGATTGTTGGTCGTGATCCCTTCTTCGATTCGAAGTACCATTGTTCGTTTCGGAGGTTGGTATAATAATATTGGAGGACTGTCACTGATTAGATGTCATGTTATGAGGATACATATCATGAAAGTGTCAACAAGCCACGTGGGCAGCCACGTATTCATTAGAAAAGTCAGACAAGGGACGAGTCAACACAGGTAAGGTCAACATGCAGAGGCTCCTTGAGTCCGAAGCTCTTTCATGTGAAAGCAGAGGCTCCTTGAGTCCCCAAAAAATGAACTCAACAGTAACAATTATTTCTTTAACCTTTTTCCGTCGAATTTATATTTTCAACTTTCCATTAATTAGTATATCTCATCCTTGGTCATGATTTATATCAAAATATTTTGTTTTCATGTTTTAAAATGATGGGAAAAATATTTTTTTCGCACTTCTTATTTTTATTTATATCTAAAAATATGATAAAAAAATAAGCCCATATTCGATGGCCATTATTTGGCCAAAACAATATTTTAAATAGTAATTTTTTGAAAAATGTGCAGTTAAAAAATATGTAAATGTTCCGAATTTACGTACATAATATTTTATCAATGCTTCGTGTACACTTTGGTGTACACCATTGCTCACATTCACCCACATGGAAAATTGTGAATTGCCAGTTAAAAAAAAAAAAAAAAAAACTGTTATTCAATCGAATCAATTTTTGACAATCATGAAAGTGTCAACAAGGATATACAAAATCAATGTACAAACGGCTTCCTCTAAAAACTCTTCTAACTATTAAAAACACTTCAAAATTAATCAAATGAATCTAAAAGCAACTTTTGAATTTCAAAAGCTCATTTTGACTTTTTGAAAACCATGCCAAACGGTTTGATCAAAATGACAGTACTTTTTAGTTTGCACGTAATTCATGTTATTCACGTCATTTGGTCATGGTCGTCTGTATAACTATGTTCCTGTCCACTTTTATGCATTTTGACGTTGGGAACGAATTGAAGAGCATGTATAGTATTGCACTTGTGCTTAAAAGTTAATCTTTTGAAGTAGCAATAACATAAGTAACTTAAAAGTAAATTTAACTTGCAGCCAAACATGCTCTGAAACAATAGAGAAAGGCTCATAAACCTAACATACGCCATGCAAATTGATGTTTCAAAATAATACAAACGAAAATAGTATCTCGCATATTCAACCTGGAAAGAAGATAAAGCTATTCGGATTTCTTGGTAGATACATTTCTTTTCATCCGGCTAAACGGCCCAACCGTCCGGTCCGTTATGTACATGTAGATGACCTGACTCCAAGATTTATATGAATCCAAATTATCATAAAACTCAGGTGCAATCTCCCTCACCTTGCGAAGCTTGGTCCCAGGGATCCTAGGGAAATCGTGGTGCTCGTTGTGGTATCCTACGCTCCATGTCATAAGATTCAAGGGACCGTAATAAGAATAGGTTTCTTGATCCGGCTTGAAAACGTAATGTTCAGAGATGAAGTGACCGGCCATGGGGTGCATCCCTCCTCCGACGAATGTGGACAGTATCAAATAACCAAACGACTTCCATCCCCAAAAATGTACTAAAAGGGCATCAAGGGCAAGCTGAATAATTAAATTAATAAACTCCCATATGCCGGGGGGTTTTGGTTTGATAAAAACTGGCCGGAGAGCATAAAAGAAGAGTTGGAGAATAACCCATATCGATTTTGAAACAATGTTCTTCACCAGATGGGCTTCAGCGAGAGTCGGGATATCCATATCAACTCCATCCACCCCCTGAAAACGATGGTGCTCCAGATGATACTTTTGGAAAGTTACAGACATGGGTACCCCAATAGGAAGGTTAGCAAAAATCCCGAGCCAACGATTGTAAACTGGCTTTGAGAAGGCTAGATTGTGGCTTAGCTCATGAATGGCCAAGAAGAGATTGTGGTTGAGGAAAGAGCCAAAAAAATATGCTAATACCAATATCTTCACCCAACCTGCATTATGGAGGAAGGTTGCAGTCCATAGCTGAAGCAGTACAACCATGGCAATCTGCAAAATGAACACTAGGAAACATGAAAAAGAGAATTTAAATTGAAGTTTATGCACAGGTCGAAATTCAAATGTATGACATTGTCAAGATATGTGTGTGATTGAGCTTAGAAGTTAATCCAGAATACAGCAATTTCCTAATCCCACTATATCATAAAGCTGAAGAAGCGAAACTGCTTAAATATATATATAAAAAAAAGGACATAAGCACTTGAAGTGATTTTTCCCCTTTCCTCTTCAAACAGAAAAGGTAAATTGTCTCTAATTTCATCTATTGGACGGTCAATAATTTCGTAGATACTGTTCCGAGGTTAGTAATCTGGATCATTATAAAGATGAAACGAATAGAATTTCTACGACACCTCAATAAGATAAATGTAAGCTTTATCCAATTGCTATTCCGATAACAGAGTTGAATCACAAATGGAAAAGAGGAATCAGAAAGCCTTTTTAAGAGTGCGATGAACCTTTCACCAAGCGTGTTTCCTGTTAAGGCCTGCTAGGGAGTTTTGGATACCGGGCATTTTTTTAAAGTATCGATTTTGAGTGGTTGAGATACACGGTCAAAATTATACCGTACCAGTTTTGATAGTTTAAAATCAACCAACTGGTGCAAAAAAGACCTAGCAAGCACCCATTTTTCCAACCCGATGAACGGTGCCACCTAAAACCGGCCAAAGCCAATAAAAAAAAACTCCCAAGCAGGCCCTAATTGCAGAATAGAATGCACAAATTTGGGTATAACATCAGATAATGCCATCAATAAAGGGTGAATATACCATTTAAATGAGATCAAGCGTGATTAAAAAATGGCCAATACTGACATTGAAATTGAACAAAATTCGAAAAGAAACACATTGCACAGAAAATCCAAAACAGAACAAAAAGAAACCCCAAATACACAAAAGACTGAATATATCACACGACATTACGAATTTAACCACAGATCTGAAAAACCCATCAACCCACATTATCAAATCAATCATTCTAAACCTACATTTCAAAATTCAATAATGCATGCACATACCTTGAGAAAAGCAAATGGGTCTGGGCCAAAGAGTAGTTTGATTTGAGGATACTGAGAGAGGATCTGCCTTCTGCGAGAGGCATGGGGTTCATCTGTGTATGACCAGAAAAAATCTGTAGCCATTACTCCCTCTTCTTCTTCTCTCTGTTTTCCTTCATACCCCATTCTCTCACTCGCCCTTTACAGCCCCCTCCTGTGCCTATTTCCCTCTCTTCTTCCTTTGTATTTTTCTTTTGTGACAATTTGAGATGTTTGTTGACTCTTAACGATTCTCCTCCTGTGTCCTAAATTTAAGATAAAATTATATTTGGCCCGGTAAGATTTGTGATTGTGCGGGATTCAGGTATGATTGTATGAAAAACATTCAATGGACTGTGATTTTTCATGCGAATGGTTTAGGTGTCGATCGTGTTCTGTCCCGTCAGCATAGCGTGGGGCCTCGGCCAGGTTTACAGCTGGAAATGGAATCTTGCCAGATATTCCATTTGCAATTGCACGTGACTGGGCGGGATATTTAACCTTTGAAATTAAAATTATAGTAATGTATGTTTGAAAAGTTATATGTTTTAATTTAGATTAAAATTTTGATTTTAAATTTTAATTTTCACCAGATTAAAGTTATCGTGAATTGTTTTAAAAATGTCATTTTGTAATGCAAGCTAACAAGAATTATGTCAAGCAATGTGGTAACAATGAAACTACTTGTACATCATGTCTTTACATCATGATTTAACATCTGACGATGTGTAGAAATCGAGGTCACTGATTATTTTAAGCGTTGTTAAAATCAATGCTAAAATTGTGTGTCATATCATGAAATGTCAACTAAGATGTAGCAAAATTGATGTGGTAAACAAAAAAATAGACATTTTCTTGAAGTCTGTACAGATTCAGACGTCCGTATAGAAGGAATGAATCAATAAAATTAATATTTATTTAACAAATTTAGGTGCGGTTTTATTTTTGTTTTAAGAAAATTAAAGTTACCTAGATAACAATCTATAGAATGCATCGAGGATTGATTTTGAAAATGACTAGCTATTCATTAGGTATCAATTGTAGAAATTAAGAAAATTAGACTCCTTATTCCAATAAAACTGAATAATGAAATTACATAACTCACTAGAAAATATAGAAAATAGGAAACCTACCAATAATAGGAAATCTACTAATAATAGGAAACAAGTAAATAAATAATAAAATAATGTAACATTCCCCCTTCAAACTTACAATGCTACCGCTAGAAGCATGGGGAGTTTGCTAAATAAGAAACGAAAATGCGAAGAGGAGTGCACCTTGGTAAACATGGCAGCAATCTACACAGAAGAAGGAACAAAAGGCAATGTGATGGTGCCAAGTTGAAAATGATGTCGAACAACGTGACAATCAATCTCAATATGTTTGGTCCACTCATGAAATATCAAATTACGTGCAATCTGAATAGCACTCTTATTATTGCAATATAAGGGGGTAGGTTGATGAAGAGAAATACTCATATCTGCAAGCAATCAACGTAACTAAACTATCTCACAAGTAGTAGAAGCCATGACACGATATTCTGCTTCCGTGGAAGATCTAGAAACTGCATCTTGCTTCTTACTCGTCCAAGAAATAAGAGAATCACCAAGAAAAATACAAAAGTCAGTGGTTGACTTGCGATCTGTAGAATCACCAGCCCAATCAGCATCAGAGTATGCATGCAATTGTAAGGACGAAGTAGACGGAAGTAAAATATTCTGAAATTGAGTGCCCCGAAGATACCTTAGAATACGAAAAACAGCAGCCCAATGAGCTGTAGTGGGCACAGTAACAAACTGACTAAGTACATGAATAGCATTTGCAATATCTGGAAGAGTGATGGTGAGATAAACCAAGCTGCCAATAATAGTACGATATAAACTAGGATCCGACAAGGGACAACCATCAGACGGAGAGTACCGAGCATTAGTCTCAAGAGGGGTATCAACAACCTTATTATCAGTAAGATGTGCATGCTCAAATATATCAGCTATATACTTGAACTAGGATAAAATATAACCTTTCGGATAGGAGGTGACCTCAATGCCCAGAAAATAACGTAGCGTGCCCAAATCTTTCATTGCAAAGCAACGAGCTAACTCAGACTTTAAAGATGCAATTTTGTCAACATCATCACCAGTAATAATCATATCATCAACATATAAAGAGAGCAGAATACGGCATATACCATTACATTTGACAAACAATGCCGAATCATGATGACTAGGATAAAAACCAAGCGAAATAATTACAGTAGAGAACTTCTCAAACCAGGCTTGGGGTGTTTGTTTGAGACCATAAAGGGCTTTTCGGAGCCTGCAAACTTCACCAGGTTGGTGAGAAACACCAGGAGGAGGCTCTATGTAAACTTCTTCATGAAGATTACCATTCAAAAAGATATTTTTGACATCCATCTGAGATATGTGTCATTGACGAACAAAAGCAATAGCAATGAACATACGAACAGTAGTCATTTTTGAAACATGGGCAAAAGTCTCCTCATAATCCATGCCATACTCCTAAGAGTAACCTTTAGCAACAAGTTGGGATTTGTATCTTTCAATAGATCCATCAGACTTAGTTTTGATTTTGTAGACCTAACCTTCTTCAGATCACCATTCAAAAAGACATTTTTGACATCCATCTGAGATATGTGTCATTGACGAACAGAAGCAATAGCAACAAGCATACAAACAGTAGTCATTTTTGCAACAGGGGCGAAAGTCTCCTCATAATCCATTCATACTCCTAAGAGTAACCTTTAGCAACAAGTCGGGCTTTGTATCTTTCAATAGATCCATCGGACTTAGTTTTAATTTTGTTGACCTAACGAAAACCAATGACGCATTTTCCTGGCGGTAAAGATGCCAGTCCGAAGTACGAGTCTGATGCAGAGCAGTAAGTTCTTCAGTTATAGCATCCTGCCAAAGTGGGTCACGAATAACCTCTTTATAGGACAGGGGCTCAGAAAGACGATGAATCGAAGCTAAAAACGAAGCGAAAGAGCTAGGATAACAAGAGTAAGAAAAATATGGTAGCTTAGTAGAGTTACGAACATGTGTAGATTGGCAAATATGAGGAGGAACTACAGTCTCAGGGATGATTGGGAAGCCGCAGGAGAAGAAGCAGGTGTATCAGGAACCAAAGTACCAAAATCTACTGAGCTATCAGTGGGAAACCTGCAAGATGCATTATCTAAAACTGGAGTAGCGGGTGGTGCTTCCTCAGTGTCAATAGTGAAGGGATCCATGGGAATAAGATCAGACTTGGTCATATTATAAGGACTAGCAGGAATAGAAAAGAATGGAATATGCTCAAGAAACACAACATGACGAGAAACATATAATTTTGGACTGACTGGATCAAGATAACGATATCCTTTTTGAACTATGCCATATCTCAGAAAGACGCACAAAGAAGATCGAGAGGACAATTTATTACGCTCGACATGAGGTCGAAGGACAAAATAGGTGGAACCAAAAACATGCAAGGAAGAATAATCAGGAGCATATCCATACAACTTCTCAAAGGGTGACATACTTGAATTGTGTGAGGTTGGAATCCTATTAAACAAATGAGCAACAGTAAGAATTGCTTCAACCCAAAATGCACTAGGAACATCGACAAACAATAAAAGAGAACGGGCTGTTTCAACAAGATGCATGTGTTTCCTTTCTGCAACACCATTCTGATCGAGGACATCTGTACAAGAAGTTTGATGAAGAGTACCATCGAAAGTAAGCAAATTAGAAAAATCATTAGAAGTGTATTCTCCTCCCAAATAACAACGAAAACACTGTATGACAGCCGAATGTTGAGTTTTTACAAGAGCTTTGAAGTTATTGAAAATAGTAGGATAATTAGAACGAAGTTTCATAAGATAAACCCAAGAATAACAAGTGCAGTTATTAATAAACGAAACATAATATCGCGACCCTCCCTTTTGTGGTTATAGGGGAAGGTCCCCACACATCGGAATGAATAAGATCAAATTGAGCAAAAGAAAAAGAAAGACTTCTATAAAATGGTATGGCAGAAAATTTTACCAGCTTGTAACTACTACAATCAGAAATATCATGAGGTTTTAAATTTTCTAATACTCCAGCAGAAGCTAAAAATTGTAAACGAGACACTGAGACATGACCTAAACAAGAATGCCATAAATAAAAATCAAAAAACGAACGACTCAAACGAAAAGATGACAAATCCACACTAGAAGTTGCAGCTTCCGGTAATTTGAGATGATCCAAAACATAGAGTCCCCCTTGCCTATGGTCTGTCCCAATTAGCTTCTGAGATTGCGATCTCGCACATAATAAGTGAAAGAAGAAAAAGAGACTAAGTATCCCGACTCACATAATTGACTAACAGAAACAAGATTCAAAGTAAGACTAGAAATGTAATAAACATCCGAAAGAGACAAACAAGATGTAACAATTGAACCAACACCTACTAATGGCATAGGAATGCCATCAGCAGTCACAATTAAGACAGATGAATTGAGAGAAAAAGAAGCAAATGATGATAGATTATGTGACATATGATGAGAGGCGTCTGAATCTAAGACCCACAAGGAGGGAGATATACTTGAAGTTCTAGAAGATGACAAACCTATATGAGAGGAAGCAGATATGGCATGTGGCTGTGAGGCAATAAACTTTTGAAACTGCTCAAACATATACAGATCTAGCGATGGTGCATCCACTACATTATTAGGCTGGATGATTGATTACCAAATTTCCATGGAGGAATCTGAGATGGTAGTGGTGGTTGCTGAGGTCATCGTCGTCGTTGTTGCTGTTGCTGGGGTTGCGATGGTTTAATTTTATTCGACGGTAACGGATATTGAGCCTTTCAGTAGCCTTTTTTCTTATAGAAAACACATTCATCAGAAGAAACCTTTGAATTTGACCTATTTTGATTATTATTCAGGGGTCTTTGAGGCACTGCAAAAATAGATGGAGTAGACGTTGGGACATTCCCCTTGTCTGCCTGAGACTTAAGATATATTTCCTCAACTAAAAGTTCATTGACCACTGAATCAACAGAAGGGAGTGGACTACAATGCAAAATTATTCCACGCAATCTCTCAAAATCATGATGGAGGGCCATCAGAAATTGTACCAGTCCCTGCTCGTCTCTACGAG